GCGGCGCTTCTCCTGACCCGAACTGTGGAGGGACTGGGCTGCAGAAGGCACCCCAGGGCGAGGCCCACTATTCTTTGCTGCTGGCAGGAGGCACTCCTCTGGGCCCGCAAGCCCCAGAGACCAGCAGGGCTGCTCTCCCGGAAGCTGAGCGGGTTCCCACCTATCTGAGAAGTCGGTCTCTGCAGGAGCGAGCTAACCTGAAGGAACGGAACCCTGAGCTTTGTAAATGCATCATCATCATCATAATCATCATCATCATTATTATTATTATTATTCCACTTAATTATTATGGTTCCTAAGTTTGAGCCCCAGATACTACTACGCAGAAATGCTGCTCAGTCCCCATGTAACGTGAAAGGGCAGGATTCAGCCTTTTAAAAGTAGCTTAAGAGCTGAGAATGGTTTTAGTGCCTGACAAAGCGTCACTAGAAAAACTGCCGAATTTATTTATTTATTTATTTATTTAACTTTCAATTTATAGACCGCTCACCCCCTAAGGGCTCAGAGCGGTTTACATTATACAATTATTAATTACATTTCCTTTACTAGGGCCACGCACACAATGAGGGGAAGGGACTACCTATCAGGCACCCATGGCAGGGTCTTAGTTGTTATTATTGTTTCTTACGGAGGTTCTTCAATCCGGGCAACGGCGTCTTTTGCGCAGGTCTTCCTTTGGGTCGCAGCGACTCCTTCCGGGTATGGACCCACAGCGCACGACGGCGCGTGCTACCGCAGCCGGCCTCTGTCCTAATTGGCTCCGGCCTGCCGCATTGCACCACTGCCGCACCTCGCCGGGCCAATCTCCGCTCGAGCCGCTCGCCTCACTCGCCTCGCCGCTGTTGCTGCCGCCGCCACTCCGTTCCTCAATTGCCGCCACGCCACCACGAAGGGAAGGAAGGGTGCCCCCCCGCTTTAAGAGCAGGTACCCATTCATCTACTCGCCCATTCGGGCTTTTGAACTGCTGGGTGGGCGGGAGCTGGGACATGGACCGGGAGCTCACCCCGGCCACGGTGGGACTCGAACAGCCGAAGCTGTTCGGTCAGATGGAATACAGGCTTCATTTACTGCCTGCGCCACCGCTCCCATATTCCTACTGAGCTCCCACAGAGACTCTGAGGGCCCACTTGGGTGCTTTAAATTTACCATCCCAAACTACAGATGGTCTCAAAATTGTGAAATTGTGACTGGGCACAGGCATGGAGTCTTCTAGACAAGCACTGCTTTTCAGGTAATGTTGCAGCAAATAAAAACGTGAGAACAAAAGGGAAGATTCCTGTCAGTGAAGATCAGTTTCACCCAGAAATTGAGTAATGCTTTTTAAAGACACTAAGAGAGGCAGTCGGCCTCTGAGTCCCAGTGCCAGGAGGCAACACCAGAGGAAGGCCTTGGCCTCTCTCTGCCCTGTTGCTGGCCCTCCAGAGGGACTGGTAGGCCTCTGTGTGAGACGGGAGGCTGGACTAGATGGATCCAGCAGGGCTCTTCTCATGTTCTTAATACAGTGGCGAAACAAAAGACAAACAAGAAAAAAACCCATTGCTTCTCCGGCTTCTGCTGTCAGTTTACAGCATGGAAGGTTTTCCGCCCCATTTGCTCTGCAGGGTGTTAAATAACTGCTTTTTGTTGCCGGAAACAATCATCACCAGCCTGATACATAATTCACTCGAGCTCCTCGACTTGGATTCAGCTGCCTTTCGACGTTACTCAGCGCCACGCCAGCCTCTGAGGCTTCTTGCAGCCCCCCAGTGAGTTCCGTTCCCTGTGGGTGACCCAGATGTGAAATGGCCACATTCCACAGGTAGGTGCATAGGCAGACATCACCTCCCCGCATCCGAAGAATTCAACAGCATGTCCCAGTCGGACGATGAACGAGCATCAGTGGGACCCTGAAGCCCAGGCGGCACATGCTGCAGCGGGCTACCCACGAATCCCCCCCCCCAGTGCTGTGGCCCTGCACCCCTCCCAGGCTCCCCTGCTTGCCCTACTCAAAAGGGCACATGGGAGACGGCAGGACGTCTGAGCCTGTGCGACACTTTACCAAACCCTGATAGAAACTAATGTCAAATATCGCCAAATCACCATGTCCACAAACCTCAACCAACTTGCATATAAAAACCTATATTGCTGTAAAATGAGATGCCGCCATCAGTGACCTAAAACTACTAAGTAGCTACAAGGCTTCACAGAGGTCCCCAATGACTGTTCTGTTTCCATCACTGACTGCTGAGAACTTGGAGAGAAAACAGAACAGGCGTATTGTAGGTTGAGTGCACGGTTACTACTGATACCACTTCTAGATAAGAAAGAGATCCTTTCTACAATTGCTTCCTCTCATCACACGCCCATGCATGCGAAGACTTATATGCAATTTTATGTTGCATTACTCATTTTGGGTAATAAATGACATCACATCTTTCAGCCTATTTCTTTCCTTCTCTCAAGCACAGAAGTCATCAGTACAAGGGGTAAAGCATGGAACTATTTTTAGCTCCTGCTTGGGGCTGGGGTGGGGAAATAAGATTCCTGGGTGTTGGAATAATAGTTTTTGGCACTCTACTCCCGGTTTATCCAGCAGCCATTCAGCCCCGAGTGCTGAGGCAGGCAGAAGCTTTTCCGAGGGCCTCCAGCTGCCAGCCGGGCCCTCCAGGTAAGTTGCGGGTTCAGAACACGGCAGTGCCCCCCCCCCCATCTCTGGCTGACATCTGGAAGAAGACACACAGCAAGAAGAGGAGCTGCTGGCCTTCTATTCTTGTGTGGAACGCACAACAGAAGAGGAGGACAGACAAAACCACGGCACTGGCCCCCCACTTCAGAACTGAGGCCAAGGAGAAAGAACCGGCCCATTTTGCTCTCCTATTCAGCCGGCGCCCGCTTTCAGTGGTGACTCATCCCCAGCGTGCACCTGCGCCATGTGTTAAGTGGTGCTGAATAAAAGCCCCACACCTCCATTTACACAACAAAGAAGCGCGGCCTGCGTCTCTCCCTCCCCACCCCTCCCCGCTTGTTTGCTCTGAAAAGGGGGCTTGTGGAGGGGGGGGGAGAAGGAGAGCGGAGAATTCTGCCTTCAGTTGGTGCGGGTTTTACATGCAGATTCAAGGATAGACCGGTTTTGTAATTGTATTAAATGGCAATATCGTAAAGCAACCCAAAAGCGTTAGATTATCACAGTTGTAAATGGTGTGTTTTTTTAAAAAAGCCAACCCCCCCTCCACAAACCCCTTTCATCAAAGCCCTCCGTCCTCCAGGGATGCATTTCTGAGCAGGGGGGGGGACCCGCAAACCAGTTGCTCGAAAGTCTTCCTGATGCTCAGCCCAAGTCAGAAAAGGCTTAATGAAGAAGGGCCTGGAAATCCACCAGGGCTTCCCGAGGAACATCTGACTTGGTGATTTATGCATATTAATAATGGCAGTCCTATTGAGGCAGGCAGGCAGGCAGAGGCGCGTACGTGTCCCACGAATCTTAATGTCTTCAGCTCCACTGGGATTATTACCAATGTAAATTCCTACCATTCTGGGCTATTAATCTCTGTCTGTCCTCCTGTTCGGCAACATAATGACTAATTAAACATCAAAAGACAAGAACGGGGGAGATTTTCTAGACAGTTCCTGGGCCACCTCTCCTCCCCTGAGACGGATTCACATGACAGGGATAAGTAGGTAAATGTGTAGGAAATGTTCTACAAATCACTGCCACCCACCCCAATAGGAGAAAAACACACGGCAAAGGTACTGTAGCCTGACCAGAGGTGCGCAGCTCACATCACTCAAGAGGGGCACTTTCACAAGGCTACCAACTCAAGAGGGCCACAAGCCCCCTGGGGCGTAAGGAGAGCTGGGCGGTCCCTTTCTCTTCCTTCAGGCGGGTCTCGCCTTGCCTCTCGACACCCAGCAGAGAGGACACCCCCTTCTCTTTTTCTCTTGCCTCTTTTGTCACCCTCTCCGTTAAGCACCTTTCCTTTGCCCACAGTGCACGTGCTCTAGCTCTGTGCATGCAGGCACACAGCCCCAGTTCTCTCAGGACCCTCGGACTCTGGCTTCTCCATCTACAGCACCCTCTACAATTCCACCTACTCCTTCCCTCCCCACAGCACCATCTCCTTCTGCCTCCCTCTGAATCGCCATCCATCCATCCTGCATCCCTTTCTCTGCTTCCTTATCCCACAGGCTGCTCTGCATCCCATAATAACGTAAGAGAAGCCCATGTTGGATCAGGCCCATGGCCCATCCAGTCCAACACTCTGTGTCACACAGTGGCCAGAAAATACCAGGTGCCCTCAGGAGGCCCAGCAGCCGGGCCAGGACACTAGAAGCCCCTCCCACTCTTGAACACACACCCCAAAGCACCAAGAATCCAGAGCATCACTGGCCCCAGACGGAGAGTTCCTACCTATACCTTGTGGCTAATAGCCACTGATGGACCTCTGCTCCATAAGCTTCTCTAATTCCCCCTTGAAGCCCTCCATGCTTGTAGCCACCGCCGCCACCTCCTGTGCCAGTGAATCCCCATTTCTCATCTTCTGCCTTAACCCAAAACCCCTACTCTGCTCTTCACTGTGTTTGGCAGCAGCAGCAGCACACAGGTCCTTCCCTCTCCCAGAGCAAGGCATATAGCTGTCCAAGCAGTATGGTTGGCTGCTGGGGCAGACTAGAAAACACTGCCTCTCCCATAAGGAGAGAAACAACACAGAGACAGCCATGGAGACATTCTCTTGTCCCTTCCCCCCCCCCCGCCTAGAAATCCCTTCACTTCCTTGCCCCCCCCCCCCCCCCCCCCCGCTTAGAAATCCCTGCACAGAAGCAGGAAAGGGATGTCAAGAAGGGGTGCCCGGAAATCCTGACCCACCTGCCTGGTGCTACACTAGCCTTAGACAGACATTAGAAACTTGGCTTTTTGTGATAAATGTGAGTCAGCAATCCAACAGTGACTAGATAAGACAGTGCGTCCACCTGCCCGTTCAGTTGTATTTACCAGAAGTTAAAAAAACAAAACTTTACTTACAGAAGAAGGCAAACCAGGGGGCACCTTCCTTACTTTCTTTGTCTGCAGAGAATCTGCACAAAAAAAGTCACAAATTTTCCAATTAGCTACACTTCAGTAACAAACAATGATAAGCAGCAATGCTGAAGCGAAACTGCTAGAAGCTCTCCAAAGAGGGCTTGAGAACAGAAGGTAGGAGGTGGGCAGAGGGATCCATTACACCAACTACAGAACTTCCACATCAGAACCCCGTTTCAGCACAACCAAGTATGCTGTGGAACAAACAAGACTGCTCCGTCACGGCACATCCACTTCGAATCCATGAGCCGACTCAGCAAACTCACTCACACAAGAGTGCACACCCAAGGAGACACAACACTGAACGTCATTCGGATATTAGCTTGGTGAGGAATGGCATTCAAGCCAATGCTTCACAAAAGAACAGAAGTCATTGCTGCCTGAGAGAAAGGGCAAACCATGAGGAACCTGCTGACTACGGGGTATGATGAGCCTGCAGGTCTGAAACAGGTAACTGAGCCCGGCAGGGAACAGAATGGAAAGTTATGACCTGGGCACAACTGTTCTCCCAAGCAGACTGGAGCCTAGTACTCACAACTATGTTGTTAGAACAGATCCGGAATCTACTATGTTGGTCACACCTAATTTGTGTGAACTGGGCTTCTTTTTTAAAAATATAAGCTTTATTTTGGGCTGGTGCCTCAGCAGTGAATTAACTTCTCTGCCTCAGAAGGGCGGGTGGGCCTCAGATAAGCACCTAACCGGTTGATGCCCGCATTGTCCAATTTCAACCACTATTTAAGTTCAGCACCGTACATGCACACCCCGAGGTCAAGAGCAGGAGCAAAGACGTGCAGGGGCGGGCAGGCTTGGATTCCACGAGGAATCTTTTATACAAACTGTGCCCTAACCCAGCACAGGCAAGATGCCTGAATTTCAGCGTCAGTTAAATATCGAACACTATTAGCTAGATGGCAGTTGAATGTCAAACAATATACAATTCTAAACTATGACAAATTCATGAAGAGACAGTTGTCCCAACTCTATATGAACTAGAATTAAAGTACTTCCTAATGCTGCCTGAAATACTGAATTGCCACAGAACTACAGACAAAGACCATCACGACCGATTAAACAACTAAACTGTAAACTTCAAGAGGAGGAGTGATAACATTAGGCATGTCATAATCTCTTTCTGCGTATGCCCACAAGACCTGCGTTTCACATTGGGGGGGGGGGGGGGGGGAAAGGGAAGCTGGTAGCAACAGCTTCCCGATTTTGCTTTCGAGAGGATCAGGGTCATGTGGCCGCTGTCTTGTGAAAACTTCACCCACTCTCGGGAGCTCCAAGGTGACCACAGAAAAGTTATATCTACACTGAGACAGATCCACCGCCCAAATCCTTGGCCTTTTATGCAAAAAGGAACCCACCCAGCTTCCAAAAAGACAGACTTGTGATTAAGGGAACAGCAGCAGCAGCCGGTACCCTGATTAGCATCAATTACTCACCAAGAGAAGATGACTCATGAAGAGGTCTTCGTCTTGGATTTGCGGCAGAAAATGGATAATAGGGTGTTCCAGCTTTTCCTGAGGATGACATCTGGCTTGGGCTTCGCAGACTGGGCTGCAAAACAAGAATGACACTTAGAAACATCCTCTCTGACGAAACATCAGTCACCTCGTGCTGGCTGTTGAGGCCAACTTCAGTCCCAAACCAGCTTGTTCAAATAAATTGGGGGGGGGGAGTGGCTTAAGAATTAGCATGACATTATTGCTATAGATCAGGAAATATTCCCAGTTTTTCAGACGGCAACTCCAGTCTCATGTTTTCAGAAAGTTTTTTATTACCTTTCATTTTAAAAGCCTGTTGGCTGATATAATGATGCATAAGGGCCTCATTCTCAGCAGACTGGTTAATAAGCCAAAGTGAAAAGAGGCTGAACTTGCTGAGACACAAAGCAGTGCCGAATTAGGAGTTGACTGCAATTTTTTATTCATGCTCTGTTCAAGTAACACAGACAGAGATTTCTCTGAGAAACACGCAAAGTGCCAGGGACGCTAAGTTGCTAGCAGAGCACTCCCCACCACCACCCACGAGCAAACGGTTAACTTTAGCAATGTTTTAGCAAAGTTTTTTTTTTTAAGTTTTCTTTGCAAAACGCAAAATCAACACAGATGGAATTAACTGATCACACCAATTTTCCTGTGCGCCAGAATAAACTGAACAAGCACTATCAAGTTTCACACTGTTCCGAGAGCATCAGAGGATGGCAGGATGTTCGCCACTATGGTGCCAGCTTGGCCTAGTGGTCAGAGCAGGGGGCTACGATTTGGAAGGCCCGGATCTGAATCCCCACTCTTCCACAGAAGCCTGCTGGGTGACTTTGGGCCAGTTAAAAACTCTCAGCCTAACAGGGTTGTTGTGAGGATAGAACAGTGAAGAGGTGAGTGTTGTAAGCCAGTCTGGATCTCTACTGGGGAGAAATGTGGGCTATTTATGAAGTTAAATAAATAAACAATTGTCCTCTGGATGGGTGTAAAGCAGCTTGGGATTGTCCACACCAAACTCTTGACCAACTGCCAAGGTAGAGATCAGAGTCCTCTAGCAAGCTAAATCATCATCTGCTAAACTTATAAAGGTTTCCCTTGCTTGAAAGCTAGTCGAATCTGACTGTAGGGGGCGGTGCTGTCCCAAACCAGCTTGTTGAAATAAATTGGGGGGGGGGAGTGGCTTAAGAATTAGCATGACATTATTGCTATAGATCAGGAAATATTCCCAGTTTTTCAGACGGCAACTCCAGTCTCATGTTTTCAGAAAGTTTTTTATTGCCTTTCATTTTAAAAGCCTGTTGGCTGATATAATGATGCATAAGGGCCTCATTCTCAGCAGACTGGTTAATAAGCCAAAGTGAAAAGAGGCTGAACTTGCTGAGACACAAAGCAGTGCCGAATTAGGAGTTGACTGCAATTTTTTATTCATGCTCTGTTCAAGTAACACAGACAGAGATTTCTCTGAGAAACACGCAAAGTGCCAGGGACGCTAAGTTGCTAGCAGAGCACTCCCCACCACCACCCACGAGCAAACGGTTAACTTTAGCAATGTTTTAGCAAAGTTTTTTTTTTTAAGTTTTCTTTGCAAAACGCAAAATCAACACAGATGGAATTAACTGATCACACCAATTTTCCTGTGCGCCAGAATAAACTGAACAAGCATTATCAAGTTTCACCCTGTGACCCAAGAGCATCAGAGGATGGCAGGATGTTCGCCACTATGGTGCCAGCTTGGCCTAGTGGTCAGAGCAGGGGGCTACGATTTGGAAGGCCCGGATCTGAATCCCCACTCTTCCACAGAAGCCTGCTGGGTGACTTTGGGCCAGTTAAAAACTCTCAGCCTAACAGGGTTGTTGTGAGGATAGAACAGTGAAGAGGTGAGTGTTGTAAGCCAGTCTGGATCCCTACTGGGGAGAAATGTGGGCTATTTATGAAGTTAAATAAATAAACAATTGTCCTCTGGATGGGTGTAAAGCAGCTTGGGATTGTCCACACCAAACTCTTGACCAACTGCCAAGGTAGAGATCAGAGTCCTCTAGCAAGCTAAATCATCATCTGCTAAACTTATAAAGGTTTCCCTTGCTTGAAAGCTAGTCGAATCTGACTGTAGGGGGCGGTGCTCATCTCCGTTTCCAAGTCGAAGAGCCAGCGCTGTCCGGAGACATTTCCGTGGTCATGTGGCCGGCGTGACTAAATGCCGAGGCGCACGGAACGCTGTTACCTTCCCACCGAAGTGGTACCTATTTATCTACTTGCAATTTCTTGCTTTCAGAACTGCTAGGTTGGCAGGAGCTGGGGCCAGAGACGGGAGCTCACTCTGTCACGCGGCACTCAGGTCTCAAACTGCTGAACTACAGACTTTTCGGTCTGCAGCTCAGCGTCTTAACCTTTAAGCCATCACAGCCCCTTATACCCAGTTACTAGAGGACAATCACACTATACATAGTGAATCCATATGGGATCTTAGTCACCTGAAGAGAAGTTAATGGATACAGAATTGTACCACTAAACTGAGAACCAAAGAATGTTAGAGAAACTTCCTAGGTGCCAGCATCAACTTCCAATAAGGAATGCATTTAATTCAAAAGGCAGGCTAGCTAATGTTATTTGATCACTGACACTTGCATGATTTTCTTGTTATTTGGCTAAGAGGTGGGAAGGGGAGTTGGGTTATCAAGTTTATTTTGACTCAGGTTGGTAAAAAAAAAAGTTAAGTGTATCGCAAGTCAATTTGATGTTCCAATAACCAAAAACACACAGACGCAAACAACACTTGAACTGTAATCTTTGATTAGGAAAAACAAAGCCTATTGAATGAGGTTTAAATGTTATATTTAAATGCATTTAAATAGAAAATACTTTTACTAGAGTAACAACTTCTAAAAATTTAAGGCAATTACTCAGCATTTACTTCCTCTATATTATTTATATTTTTAAAAACCCTAAAAGGCACTGAAAACACCTGACACATTTTTGGGGGTACACTGAAATTACTGTGCATGAATGTGGTCACCCACTCATTTGTTTTACCAGAATTCAACCCTTGTCCATGGAGACCACCTGGACACCTCATCACTAGCATTACCTGATAGCTCCGTATCAGACTAGCTATGCTGATCGAATCAAAACCACAGCTAAAACTCATATTTATACATTTCTTCTCACTCTGGAAGGTATATTGTAATCATCAAACAAATGAATCCGTAACTTCTTTGGATTGTTATGTATTTGAGGTTTCCTCTTCCCAAAGCCCTACTTTACAAACCAATAAAATAGACATGTCCTCTCTCTCACACACACGATACTTAAGAATAATCATCCCAAAAGCACTAATCACAACTTAGAAACTGCCAAGTTTGCCTAATGTTGTATTGGCAGTGGCATCTGTTCGTTGTTATTATGAAACAAATTTTTTTGAAAGTTTTCCACAGAAAAATAAAGCACTGGAAAAAGCTCTGTAAGAAGAGTGTGTGAGCGCACAAGCAAGCTGCGCCCAAGCACAAACCTCTGCCGTGACGTCTGAAAGCGGCTACCAAGTATGCGTTAAGCAAGAACCGAGGACAGCTCTGAATTACTGACTGGATGTTGGTTTCTGACAAATGAAAACATGTTCAAACATCAAATGAGCAAGGCACCCATGAAGCTAAATTATACTACAAATCCATTCTGTATGGAAATTTCAGAGATACTTTTACAACTATCAGCAGGTTGTTAAAGAATCCGATCTTGAGAATATCATTAGATAGTGAAAACAAAGGAACCTTGAATGAGTAATCAATAGCAACTGCCAGAAAATGAGACAGATTAGGATTCTCTCTGAGGTTTTGTCTTAGAAAGTTTTCATTAAATGCATTGTGCTAACAAGTCATTAACTATACACATGATTACAGACCATTTTTCTTAAGGGAGAAGAGGGAAGGGGGAACCAACCGCCTCTTAAAACAGGTTGAGGAGCAGCACAACATTTGTCACTGGAAGAGAACCCCCAAAATGCAGAGCCTCAACACTCCCTTTAAGTCATTTCGCAGGTTTGAAAAGGCAGACGACAGCGATCACCGGCAGACTCCCCGCTGCATCCGACCACTGGTATGAGCCACGGCCCAAGGAGCTAAAAATGTGACTGATGGACACATGAGAAACAAAACCAGAATGGTAGTTTCACCAGCCTTAAGCTCCGACAGTTGAGAATTCAGTACAGTTGTTTTTTCTTCACAAGAAAGCCATTTTAGGGCTCGGCATCAGCTGCTTTTCTTCAGCAGATGGACCATCTGACTTTCAGTAGCAAACACGACAGATTAAAAAGAAATACTCAGGGCACAAACCCCCTGCTATGGGCCCACGGGAGCCCCCAAAAGGGCTCGAGCACTGGATGCCTCCCTCCCCCACCATAAGAACATCAGAGAAGCCCATGTTGGATCAGGCCCATGGTCCCTCCAGTCCAACACTCTGTGTCACATAGTGGCCAGAAATACCAGGTGCCCTTAGAAGGTCCAGCAGTGGGGCCAGGACACTAGAAGCCCTCCCACTGTTGTCCCACCCCCATCCCCACTTCTCTGCCTTCTCTATCCCATGCATAATCTTGTAAACTTCGACCATGTCACCCCTCAGCCCCTCAACCCGTCACCCCTCAGCACCGACAACTTGTACGGCCATCCCTGTATGGCATGGAACTTACTGGGTGACCCTGGGTCAGGGGCCGTGCTGACTGGTGAAGGGGAGAACCCCGAGCTCCTTAGAGGGAGGGTGGGATAAGAATGCACTGAATGCAGAGACCACACCATGAAACACCTCCGACCCTCTCGTGCAATTGCTGGCCTGCCTTCCCTGGCACCTGGAGACATCTGACACACACACAAGCAGAGCATCAGACATCCAGGTCCTCAGGGACTCCCCAGAACTGATGCTGCTGCACACAAGCACCCCTCCCCCCGCCCCGGGTTCGAATCCACACTCTACCACAAAAGTTCACTGGGTGACCCTGGACCAGTCACACGCACTCGGCCTAACTGACCGTGCACGGCAGTTGTGAAGACAAAATGGAAAAGAGGAGAGTGCTGTGAGGCACTGTGGAGAAAAGTGGGGCATCAAGGAAGGAACCAGACAAACCCACTTCAAGCCACTAACAGAAGAGCCATAATTATCATTCAACGGCCTGCATTCTAGAGGTGAGGTGCCACCACCAAAAAATGCTGTTAACCGATCCTTGTACCTGGCGACGGTGGTCAAAATCAGTCACAAAGACCTGCGTTACAACATTTAAACAACATATGATGTCTCCTTCATAATGCTTCAAGTCTTTCTCCCCAGCAATAATCCGTTTCTGGAATAACTGGTGGTTCAGGTTCTGAACTCTCATTTAGATTTGAGTCTGTTTCGCACCATAGAGACAAACACTTATGACCATTTTGTCCAAAGCTATGGTCGTATATTTCCTGCCAAGTTATCATCTTAGAGCAATGGCACCCTTTGCAACGGCTCGGCATTTGATGCTCTCAACGTAACAAAGTATGTCCTCTAGTGGTGAAATGAGAAGGAATGACACCCCATTTGAAACAAACTTTTTAGGCCTGCTAGACTTGTCAGACACTAGACCTGCCTAGAAAGCCATATCCTTCGAGACACAAGACTGGTGCTTGTAGATCATGTAACTTCTGTACTTTGGAGAAAGATTTTAGAAGACGATGATCTAGGCCGGTAAGTGGATTCCTCCTGAATCGTGAGGTGGGTCACAATCGCTGCCATTAATTTCAGGAATATCCTGAGCGCTGATCAGAGACCAAAAGGGAATGCTTAAATTTGACATACAAATTTGAGACACTTTCTGTGGGACAAAAGACATGCAAAACTGGGCAGATACCAACCTAGCCTGAATTAAATTCAACATCCAGGTGGATGAGCTGGTACTATTGCAAGGAAAATTCTTGTCAAGTCAGCAGAGGTTAACAAGTCATTGGAATGGAAGGCTTTTGGGCCAGGACGGTTCACCAAACTTCATTTTTCTTGGATACCTCAGAAGAGTGAATAGATTCCTACAATTTTTTTCTTGCAATAGTACCAGTTCAACCACCTGGTTACTGAATTTAATTCAGGCTAGGCTGATGTCTGCCCAGTTTTGAGGATTCCAAGACAGACAGAAAGAGATGAAGAGGATGCAGTTCTATGGACTATCCCCATCTGGTGGGGCCCGTGGCCCACGGATCCAAGGAGGAGTGAAATCAGCTGTCCCCAAACAGCTGGAGGTGTCCCACCAACGGAGTAGTCATGGCATCATTTCTTATTACAATATCTTTTACTTTAACGATTTTTAACTCTGAAAGCTGCCTCGGGCAGGTTCCTGGAGAAGTGGCATATTTTTTTTCTAAATAAATAAAATGCAGCAGCTTTAGTCAGCCTCTGTAACTCATCCTTAAGGCTACGGTTTCCTTCCGGAACTGACTTAAACAGCATCTGGACTGTAAGACAGAAGCCACAGCAAAAAAGAGAAACTGCCACTGGAGTCCTTATGGCCCAGGAAGAGACTTCATGGCCCTCAAGAAAGGAAAATTCACGATTCCTGTCAGAAGTATCCTTGAGGGAACCGTCATCTTTAGTTAGAACAGCCACCACTGACCTCTGAAGCATGCCCTGTGCCGTCTTTTCTGAAAAGATGAAGTCCTTTTTTGCACACACATCCCCTGAAGTGGATTTGTAAGGGGTTGAGACCATTCCTTCTTAACATTTCCAAAGATTTCAGGGAGCAGGAAAAACTCCCTTTACAGGAAAAGTACAAGGGAATGCCATCTCCGTGACCTTTCGGTTTTGAGGTTCCATTTTCTTAGGCTCCACAACAATACAGTTAATGTCAACAAGATGGGATACCCTCATTACTGAAGAAAGTTGGGAGTTAAAGCACTAGAGCCTACCAATCAATATATCATAGAATCATAGAGTTGGAAGGGGCCATGCGGACCATCTAGTCCGACCCCCTGACCAATGCAGGACCAGCCTAGAGCATCTCTGACAAATATTCGTCCAGCCTCTTCTTGAAGGTTGCCAGTGAAGGGGAGTCACCGCCTCTCTCTCTATCCTCCACCTCCAAGACAGAGACAGGGCTCCTTATCACTCTGTGGCGATGGAGCTACAACTCCAAACCAGCTACTGACTGACCATTCCAAAGATCTAGTTTGAATTTAAAATGCTACAACAAGGCGAGGGGGGGGGAGCTGTAATAGTTGATGGAATTATATTTCATTAGTCTGCCAGCTAACAGCCTTCTAGATCGCCAGTTCCTTCCTGCTCCACAAGCACGCCACACTACTATTCCCGGAGAACTCGAGCTACTTCTAGTCCTGCTTAGAAGGGTAGAAACCTGATGTACACTGCAAATAAAAGTGTCCAGCTCCAGGACAAAAAAAATCCACTCCCAACTTCATGTAAGGAAGGAGAAGCGAAGAGAGTTAGAATTACTTGCATGTCATCAGCCTCTCTCTCCCCCCCCACCCTTCCTCCAGCCATGCAAGTGAATTCCTCCCTCAACTGCACCCTGCACTTCCTCAAGCTAATTCCTAACACCTGCTACCCACTTCCCTCAAGGATCTCTTTGCAGATTATCTTCAGGAGTCAACTCCAATTTCAGAAACACGGGCCCTGTGAGCAAATTTTTTTTTGCTTTCTCAAATGATCCTGGCTCCAAGCACAGAATGTCCATGGCGGGGGGGGAGGGGAGGGGGAGAGCAGTTTCTGTGCTCCTGCTTGAAGAGTTAAGAGCTGGTGCAGACTGACAGTGCCCCCCCCCTCAAGATAAGAGGTCAGCCGCCGTGCTGAGGAACAGCTCATCACCCCCCCCCCACATCCACCCACGGAGGAGCTTCCTTCTCTGGGGCTTATTCCAGGTAACATCTTTAGCCAAAGGTCCCCACAGGGAACAGCACACTGATGCAAGAGAATAAACACCCTGTGCATAATCCACCCTGACCCGGGTGGCCCAGGGGAGCCCAGTCTCTTCTCAGATCTCGGACGCTAAGCAGGGTTGTTCCTGCTTAGTACTTGGACGGGAGGCCACCAAGGAAGCCCAGGGTTGCTGCACAGAGGCAGGCCATGGCCAGCCACCGCTGAACGTCTCCTGCCTTGAAAACCCCACTGGGGTTGCCCAAGATCAGCTGCAACGTGGCAGCGTTTTCCACCACCAATGCCTAAGCAGCCATAGAGGCCCCTGTAGAGGCGGACGCCTTGAAGCCCTTTCTTTTCCTGGCCTGCTGCTGCTAATCCTTTCGGCACGCTGTACTCTATTACCTAATACATCTTGTTTTTGTTCTTTGTACAGTTCCCTCCCCGCACTTGTATTTCTATTTACATGCCACCTTGAGGGGCCTTAAGCTGAGCCCTATGCTTGAGAGAGGGTGGACATTTTTAGAATACGAGTGGCAGAGGTAGGTTTCCAGAGCCCTTGGCTTGCTTCAGGCCAGTGGCTGCGCCCGCCCAGGCCTGGCTCTATCCCACGCCAGCACAATCCCCCTCTGAGGGCCCAGAGACACACGTTCGAGTGAGCTCTCGTGCCATGTTTTACCTGGCAGCCTGACAGTCCTGGCTCTCGACCAAACAACGGAAATGGACTTCTTTCTGCAGTTTTTCCTATAAAATAAAAGTAAAAATAAAATAATGAAACATCCACTTCAGACATGCTAAAAATCCTGCTAAGCCGAGAATTAGAGAGGGGGGAAATGAATGAGTGCAAATATAAGAAAATTAGCGGGAATATTTTATGTTTGATCTGAAAAATATTTTAAAAGCATGAATTCCTCCGTCATTAATGACCCTGGTGGTGGTGGTGGGGGGGGAATCCGAGTGTGCTGTGCCAAAAAGAGAAAAGACACCTTGCCTTAAAAATATTATACACCTGAGAATATGCCCTGAAAAAACACTAGCCTTTGATCTCCCTCAAGTATGAGATTATTTTTGCTGATTTAATGTTGAAGTCAATCTTGTTTACAAATTGCTGCTTAAAACTGGAATGCGGGAAGGAGGAGAGAAGCAGATCATCTGTTCTTCTGGCAACACCGCGCTGCCAAGTTAATGGGACTGACATGTATTTCACTATTACTTGCTTGGAAAGAGGTGACATTATTGTTAAAAAGAAAGAGAAAAGTTACCAATTTTCTGCTCAAGCAATTTGCCTCCAACAGCTGTCAGAGAGCAAGCAAATAAAATAGCTAGCGCGCGAAATTGTTTGAAGCAGCATGAATCATGCTGCTTGCGTTAACTGGACTCAGCATTTTCTTTCCTGTAAATTAAAAAAAACAACCAACCAACCTTCCACCAAATGATAAACAACTTTGACTAAGGTATGCAATATTCCAGGCGAGGGTTCAGAACAAATATTTGCAAAACAGTAAATTACAAAGAGTGGAAAAATTACTGTGGCGGAGGAGAAGCTGAAATACACACCACCGTGGGAGAACACCTTCCCGCACGCTCCTTGAACATCAATGCCTGTACACAGACACATTGCATCCATGGAGGTTAGATTCTGAGAGCCCCACACAGCACTTAAAAGCATCTTGATTCATTGCCTGACTTCCCAAATCAGCAGAGCAGTATGAACACTGACCGGTTCCCACAAAAAACTACCACTGAACTGGTTCAACCGTGCCAGACTGACCAAAAGTCCAAATTAGCACCAGCCTCATCAAGCCCAAGTTTATTTGGACGTCGAACAATTCACAATGGGTACAACCTTAAAGCTGTCATCTGAAGCCTTCGAATGCTAACATATTCCAGCAAATGCAACAGTAGTCTCAGTGGGACAGACTGACAGCAATCTCACAAACATACAGAGGAACCAGCTCTCAGTTCTGGAGATTATAATTGTGAACGAAGTCCTTCCTCAATCTCACAAACCTACAGAGGAGCCAGCTCTCAGTTCTGGAGATTATAATTGGGTGAATTAAGCATTCACGCATGCCCTTCCTGCACGCGCTGGTTCTCATGAAGATGGGCATTTCACAAGACTGTATCCTGCCATGCAGCCTTCCCTAGGGATCTCAGAAGTAGCAGCAATACAGAAGGCTCAAAGCAATTGGAGTACACAAAAGGCACCAACTGGGAAGCTCCACACAAGGCCAGCAGTTAAGACGTGTCTTCGAGAAGTGCAAGGAGCCTCACTATTAGTGCTCCAACAGACACGCCAGAGCCAACAATCAAATAAACAAGCTGGCTAACATCCCCACCCCACCCATGGCCTCTACCCTTTTTTTGTTTGGCTTGGTGTTCCTCACTAACTCTTATTAATCCTCCTCTCTGCTTGGGTGTTTATATGATTGTATGTTTAACTTAGTATCTGTCTGTCTGTGTAGTTTAGGATGATGCGGAGTAGTTTTCTGTTGCCCCAGAAGGTCGGACCAGAACCAACAGGCTGAAATTAAATCAAAGGAGTTTTCAGCTAAACATTAGGAGGAGCTTCCTGACAGTGAGAACGGTTCCTCAGTGGAACAGGCTTCCTCGGGAGGTGGTGGGCTCTCCTTCTCTGAAGGTTTTCAAACAGAGGCTAGATGGCCCCATCTGACAGCCATGTGGATTCTGTGGACTTGGGCAGATCACACGACAGTAGGGCAGGAAGGCTTGCCTCACTGCTTAGTTCTTGTGGCCCTTTCTGACATGCCCAGGGAAATGCCGGTCGCCACTTTGGGGTCAGGGAGCAATTGTTCTCCAGGCCAGCTTGGCCAGGGATCCTGGAGGGTTTTTGCCCTCTTCAGGGAATAGAGCAGGGGTCGCTGGGGGTGTCCGTGAATTTCCTGCACTGTGCAGGGAGTTGAACTAGATGAACCTGGAGGTCCCTCTATCTATCTATCTATCTATCTATCTATCTGTACATACATACTAAACACTGTTTTAATGTTTGAAATGTTTTAAGGTTGATGCCTTGGGGGCCCCTGCGTTGAGTGGAAAGGTGGCACAGAAATGTTTTTAAAAATAAGTAAGTGAGGCTCTACTGAGGTCACAGACAGAGAACCCAGCTTGCTGCCACAATCCCTGTGCGACCCCAACCCCATCAGGGAATTGTAGGCCAGGGACTTCCTGAAACTGCAACAAGCAGCTTGCCATACTATAAAGTAGAAGAAAAACGACTGGTATCAGAATCTAGATAGTTACAGAGCCTGTAAACAGAACAATTTACACCATTTACACAAAAAGAGATAAGTCTGCTAAAAAAAACACCTGGGAAGCCCTTAGCCTGCATTTGGGTGTCACGAACAAACCACGACTCACTTGAGCCTCATTCATTCTGGAGTTGTGAAGTGATCTGCCGCTCTTCTGCGTTGACATGGAGATGGTTTAGGACGTTGCAGGGAGGACAAGGCCGTTTCGACCCTGGAGGTCCCTTCCAGCTCTATGATTCTATGACCACTGGAGGTTTGATGATGACTCCAGGACACTTCATGGAACTCTGCACCACAACGACCCCTGAAATCCTTTCCTGTGGTTCAACAGTTCATATCTGAAGTGGGCAGTTCTTTGCTCCTACAATCACAGTCCGCACTTGCGGACGGTGAACCCAAATGGCAGTCCTGCTGCTCATCCAGTCTAGCTTGGACAGCTCCTTTAGAAGCTCTGAACCGGTAGGGTTGCCCACCCTCCTGATTAATTCTGCTGACAAACTGGGCCCCCTTACTGATCACCCTTCACTAGAGGTCAGTTATGAAATTTGTAGGGCTGGCCACTAGTCAGCCAAAATTCTGAATGCCCCAGGGAAGAGAGCAATCTCGATTTTGGCGGCCTAAGAGAAGGGTACCAGTGTTATGTCTTCTCAAGTACAACCCCCCTCAGTATACATTAGGGAGACCTGTGTGCTCTCTGCTAAACTTGGCAGTCTTAAATTTAATAGAAAACTAAGTAATGGAAATTCTGGGACTTTTCACACCTTTCCTGGAGTGAGATGAAGAAATTACAAGTCAAATTCAAGACTCGTAAAAGCAAGAAAGCCAGGCTCATGAACCAACATGGTACATTTTTCTGTAAGCTGTATAACCAGTGATGCTTCAAGAGGAATTCCAAGCACAGGCAAACTCACAATAGCCTTTCATTTTGTTTTTACTCTACATTTTAAGAATAACAGGGGACTGCTTGCTGGTTTTAAAAAAAATACACTTGCTTCAGGAAGCCACAAAGTTGTTCAGCAGAGGAAGTTTTGAAAAGGGACAGAGTTGAAGATGCCTTTATTATCAAACTCCTGGTGCTGGAAGATTAATGTCAGAAAAAAATGCCAAGTCTCAAAATTAGCATTCTGTTCATCAGGACAATTGGCACAAGTCACCGTCAACTGCTAGTAAGGTACAACTATGAATATTATAACCGCCTGAAAAATGTGTTTATATGCACATTAATTTAGCATCAAGGTTGTTTTGCACAGTTTCTCCTCTTCAATGTGAATGCCTTTTTTTTTTACTATTCCACTGGGCCTTCGTAACTGGAATTTTGAAACCAAAGGTTTTATGCTGCTGTGATTTATGAGATGTGTAGATGTTGTCTTGGGGCTTCAATATTTGGTTTGAACCTGGACATCCCTTTTAAATCCTTCTTTCTAAAACTTGTACTAAAATGTTGATAAACAATAAAAACATAGTTTTGAAGTTCAGATTCTGCAAGGGGTTTTTTGTGTTTGTTGTTGTTGTTCTCGGGAAGCCATTTCTCACCCTGATGACACTGGCAAAAATCAGAAGCTATTCTAACCCTTAAGAATTCCTGTGCCCTCCCTCCCGAGAGCCAGTTTGGTGTAGTGGTTAAGTGTGCGGACTCTAATCTGGGAGAACCGGGTTTGATTCCCCACTCCTCCTCCACTTGCACCTGGCTGGATGACCTTGGGCAAGCCGTAGTTCTGACAAGAGCTGTCCTTGAAAAAGAGCAGTTTCTGTCAAGAGCTCTCTCAGCCCCACCTACCTCACAGGGTGTCTGTTGTGGGGAGGGGAAGGGAAAGGAGTTTGTAAGCTGGGGAGCGAAAAAAAAGAAAAGAAAGGAGTTTGTAAGCCGCTCTGAGACTCCTTTGGGTAGTGAAGGGCAGGGTAGAAATCCAATCTCTTCTCTTCTTCTTGTGCAAAACCATTTTATCAAAGGCTTAATTTCCCCCATCCAGTGTTTTTTCTGAAGTTGGTAAGAACAGCCAACTGTATCTCATTTCCCTCACTGTCCCCAATGGAACCTCCAAATGGCCCAAACCCAGCTGGGTGTGGATAATATGAGACGGTGCTGAATGTAGGTGACTGATTTTCCCACTTAATGCTTGCTTGGAGTGTGGCCCTTCAGCCTTCTTTCTATGTTTACCTGTAGATATGATTTCATCTTTTTTTTCTTGCAGTCTGTGGAAGCCTGATACGGGAGTGGCCAGGGCAAGTATGGAGAGTTCTCTTCTGCTCTTGCACCTCTCCCCTGCTTTTTTGGGAGGGGGCAGGGGGGGAATAATACCCACGTCCCTTTCTCTAAGATAGTTCCAGGTGGGTCAGCAGCACTGGCCTGAAGTAACAGAACAAATTCAGAGTCCAGCGGGGCACCTTTTAAGACCAGCAAAGGTGTATTCAAGGTGTGGGCGTTCGTGCGCAGGCACACTTTCCCCTTTCTCTAAGAGTCACTGAAAAAGGCAA